TCAGCAGTGTACTTCGTCGATCTGCCTGTTCTGCTCCCCGCTCTGTCTCTGGTGAATCCTCTCACTGCCCCTGCACCTCTGGCCTGTACCCCAGTTCTGTATGCATCAATAAATAAATCTTTAAAAGAAAAAAGAACATGTTGATGCAAAAGTACCACTGACCTCACTGAGAAGTAGTGGTTAGAGTTCCTGGCTGTGCATTAGCTTTGGTTAGGTGTCATCCAAGGAGAAAAACAGACGTGAGAACTGGGGCATAATGGCGGTGGTCCGTCTTCTCCATGGGAGCTGCGTGCCCGGCTCTGTGACGTGTTTGTATTCCTGTGTGGTAGCTCTTCCTTTATGGTGGAAGCAGCCAGCTCCTGGGAGACGAAGACTGTCTTATCGTCTCCTGTGGGAGCTTCCTTCAGCCCCTGCAAACTTCTCGCCTGCCCTGAGGAGACCAGAGAATAGAGGCATCAGCAGTGTATGCTGAATGAATGGGGATTATGATCCAAGATCCGTCAGCCCAGAAATGCTTTAAATACCAACAGTAGGCCATCTGCATGAAAGTACCACATCAGCAGGGCATGTGGGGACTCATTTGAGGGGCAGGAGCTGGCGGAGTGACCAGTGGAGCCCTGAGTCTGGTGGCAAGGGGTGGGAGTGGGGGGGACAGCTGTGGAGTGGAGCGTGAAAGGGCTGTGGGTGGAGGTGGAGGTTGGCGCCGAGGCGCCATGAGGCCTGAGACGCAGCTGTGTCCCGTGGGCGAGGCGGGCTGCATCCAGGCCTGTGGGCCGGCAAGGAGGCTGGGCCCGCCGGCGAGCAGCCGCTTGTGCTCTGAGGGGGAGCGAGAGACACTAATTCTTGAGAGCCTTGGCTGTTGCCCTGGCTGCCTGTTGAAGTCACGGGGGAGTCCCGGACGAGACTGGTGCTGGGGTCCTGTCCCCCCAGGCTCGCAGGTTTCTGGGTCTTTGATGTGGCTGGGGCGTAGGGGCCTTGAAAAATCACTGGGTGGCTGTAACGTGTGGCCAAAGTTGAAAGCCATCACAGCAGGCAGAGGTCATTCCGGCACAGAGTGTCACCAGATGTCACGTGCCTGTGCCCTGTTCTTGCCTGAGCCCCTCCGGCATTTAGCTGGACCCCCAAGTACAGCGAGAACTGAGGGCAAAACCCTGGCCTGCGGTGCTCTGGGCCGTGGTGAAGGCGACTCGCTGTGGGAGCTGGGGGAAGAACGCAAGCAGGAAGGCTGAGGCAGCCGGCGGCTCTTGGAAGTGGGTTAGCTGCCCGGGCCCCAGGCCGTGCCCAGAGGGGGAGAGGGGCAGGCAGACAGCAGACAGGGCTGTGTGCACAGGTGGACGTGCCAGAGGAGGGTTTCTGTGGCGTTCTGAATACAGCCTGGTGGCAACTGGGCGCTCACCCGCTGCTCAGTGACTCCCAGAAACCCCTCGGCCTTGCTGAGCCAGAGACTGGGGCCCAGGAGGAGTCCTGGGATGGGGAAGGGTCACCGTGGGGGTGGCGGGCGGGTGCCCTTCTGGCTGTCCAGAGGCGCATTTGGAACCAGCGTGCTGGGGCCCGAGACGCTGTCTCTTTATTTACAAAGTATCAAAGAACCTCTCTCAACTGATTAACAGTGAATTAATTATCTGCAAATATTTGAGGAAAAGTGCTAAAGGAGTGTTTTTTTTTCATCTGACTCTGCACGGGTATGTGAGAAGAGGAAGTTTGGAGGGAAGGTCTGTGGGTGGCAGTTAAGCGTGGTTCTCTTGGGGAGAGGGACAGGGGTGCCACCCACTCAGAAGAAGGGGATACAGGAAATTCTGCAAAAAGAAAAAAAAGGATGATCTGTGTCTATTTTTCACAGAGGGAGGCAGTTAGAGGCAAGGTCCTTGCTGGATAAGCTCTAAAATAGATTACCATCAGCTTCAGGGATACATTTTTGTTTGAAATGTTTGGAAAAATGCGTTAATTTTTCTTGCCTTAGCAAATATGAGAGTGAAAGTAATGGAGTTGCCCCTTGAAGCCCCGAGAGTCCGTGGGGGTCCAGTTCGAGGTGCAGGGGGGTCGGCTGTGCACCCCATGTCCCCTCAGGAGTCTCTGCGCTCCCTTCCTCTTCCTCCTCCTTTTTTTGGTCCACAATTTATCAGGCCAAGCCTTCTATCTTGGGTAGGAAGGTCTGACATGAGTTTGTTCATTTCCTTTTTCTCAAATAAAATGAAAATGTCCTTAAGCTTCAGCTATCTATGAATGAGGACGATGACGACGGAAGGATAAACACCGTGGCAGTGGTGATGGTGTTGCTACATGACATAGAGAAAACAGGGTTGTCAAGCCCGGCAGGCCTCAGAGGAAAGTCTGTGGAAACTGAGATGGCTG